CCCCCCCAGCACCTTCGGGATGGTGGACGGGGAGGAAACGTGCGCGGTGGTGATGGTTTACAACACGGCCGACAGCTGGGGCGTCCTGATAGGCGACTCGGTGGTCATCCCCGAGCCCAACGTCAAACGGCACAGCATCACGCACAAAGAAAAGGTCAGTAGGGATGGGGATCGAAACCCGGTTCTATCAAGGACCCGCTTCCACTTTTGTCAAAACCCGAAAATCAATAACGTTTGGGCTTATCGATACCACTATCAAGTCTGGTCGTTTTTTTATTATTACAAGTTAGCTAGTTAGCTTGAAAAGTAAATCAAGTTTCAGACATGCTGAGTGACGATGTGTTCAGATTGGCTCAGTAAAACAACAATTAGGTTATCATGATGCGTTCAAGTGTAACATAAAGAAAAGGGAAATTGAGTTTTTGGCGAGAAACATGAGTAATACAGTTGTATATTGCTCTAATTACTTTAGAATATATAATTAAACTACTGATGCCAACATTTATAAAAAATTACATTTAATTTAAAATATAATTATTCATTTGCTATATATTGTCGCATCGTCTTTCCTCCAAATAACAGAAAAGTATCAATAGTGGTATCGATAAAGACTCGGATCGATAAGGAGTATCGATAAAGGTATCGATATCAATAAACATTAACGATCCCCATCGCCGGATTCACCGTCTTTCCTCTCCTCTCCGCAACAGACGTTCGACTTCAGGAGCATCCGACTGGACTCCCCGCTGCTGCTCATCGTCAACGGGAAGAAGCAGAGCGCCCAGAGCCAGATCCCCGTCTCCATCAGCTACAAACACCAGAGCGAATGAGCCCCGGAGCCTGAAAACCGCCGCCTTTCTGCTGGATTTCTTAGTTTTTTTCTATTTAGAAACCTTCCAAAGTTCGTGCCTGTTTTACCTATTTTGTAAATAGAAATCACCGTGTCCTGTTTCTCTATATTTATGAGGGTCTTCCTTTTTTATTTTTTATTTCCGTCATTGTGAGTTCCTCCGTGGGGTTATTTTGTAAATGAGTAAACCTGTGATGATGTCAGCTGTGACTTTGGTCCGTCTGGCCAGGAGCTGGCAGGAACAGGAGCCAAGAAACTCAAATAAATGAGGTTTTCTCGTTTGGACGCGCTTTTTCTTGTGGGACGTGAATCCTCAACTCAACCGTTATGAGTTGAAAACTCAAGTAACCGATTATTTTGTTTAATAAAGCACAGTCATTTCTAAATTCAAATGAGGGACAAATCAGAGTCCCAGTGTTTTCTAACTAAGCACTGACACAGCATTCCTTTAAGATAGATTTACTTTATTTATCCCGAGCTGGGGAATTGCATTTAATGGGGTTAAGCCCCTCTGGAAGAGCTGTTTTCTTATAAAAATGTGACCTGGCTATGAAAAGTGAAAAGTCAGTTTATTCTACGTTGTTTGGCCACTCAAAGATCTGACCGTGAGTGAGTGGATGTAAAGTAAAACGGAGCTGGAAACCAGCCGTCCGCTGGGCTCTTTCGGGCCGTTTTAAAGCCGGTCGGCGACTTCAAAACGAGAGGAAAGCTTCTAGTTAAAAGATCGACAAAGTTTTGTGTAGTTCTTTTAACTGGTTGTTCAGTTTGGAACCAAATCTACACAGAAGCTCGGTGAAAGCCAGGTGTGCTTTATTCTGACTGTAACTCACCTACAAACATGGAGAAAAATGGTCGGCGATTTAAAGAATTCTCCTAAAATTCAGTAGTTTGCATCTCTGCTCAAAACTCGGGAAGTGTGCCAAACGAGAGGGGCACACTTCGGACAGACCTCCGGGTAATAACAAACCGTCAGAGCCCCGGGGGGGTGGGGGGG